TGTGCGCACATTTTAAATATGCACCAAAGAGCTTTTAAATGAGCAGACAGCGCAACCGCACTGCATAGCAACATATGTGCTGTATGTTGAGGTGAAGCAGCTGCCCCTTTAACACAAGGTAACGCAGAGGCCTGAAGTTGCAATGGACGGTCACAAAGCGAAGTGAATGATAGTAAATGACGTGAAGCTGTGTTCACTTTCTATACCCAATTAGGTGCAAGAGAAATTATTATGTACCAATGAATGAGATCCCATTATCAGACACAGATATTTAGTTACAATTAAAGAGGTTGTAGTTTCCTCTGAGGTTATGGTTTAGTACAGGGGTGGGCAAACTCCAGACCTCCAGCTGTGGTGAAACTACAGATCCCATGATGCATCTGTCTCTGGGAGCCATGTCTGTGGCTGTGAAAATCTTGCAATGCCTCATGGGATTTGTAGTTCCATAAAAGCTGGAGGGTTGGAATTTGCCCGCCCCTGGTTTAGTATGACTGTTAGCAAAGCTCAGGGGACAACCTTTGCTGGGACCCATCTATGAGTTCTTATAGGCTGCTCTCTCCTGAGTTGGAGATCCAAAAACAGTCTATATTTTCACAAATTCAGATAAATACACAACAAATGTAATTTATACTGAAATCCTTTAGGATATTTTAAAATGTTTACAATGTTCACAAATGTGCACACTTTTGCAAAAATGATAATTTTATATTTAGAATTACTTTTATTAAACTAAATTAAAAAGGGAAAATGGAGTACAGATATAACTGCATTTAAAAATATAACAAATATAATATACAGGTAAGTACCACGTACATTGCACATCAGCTACACACACAGGACAGAATTCCTCAGAGACTTTTAGTTGTTTTTTTATTCATGTAAATGAATATCATGCGTATTTTTTGCACAGCGATTCCTGCAAGAGACCGATATTGCCAGAAATATTGCTCTGTGCAGCTGGAATTTTTGGGCCAGGTCCTTTTGTACAAATTAGTGCGTGCAGCGTA